TATATGCAGGGACTAACCCAAAGGTCTCTCAAAGGAATGAAATCTGGCAGATGGATGTGCTCCACTTTACAGAATTTGGAAAATTAAAATATGTACACCACACTATTGAGACTTATTTGGGCTTTCAGTGGCAACTGCTTTAATCTTAGAAAAGGATGATTCAGTAATCACATATTTATCATTATAGGTAAAACTGCACAAATAAAGACAGACAGATAATGGTCCAGCATATGTCTCTAGGAAAATGAAACAGCTTTTTCCTTACTATAATATTAAGTGCATTACATGTGTGTCACACAATCCTACAGGTCAGGCAGTTATAAAAGCTTCAAATCAAACTATAAAGGACATGTTAAACAAAGAGAAAGGGGTGGAACATATCCCCAGAAATAGATTACATAATGGTTTATTAACCTTTAATTTTCTTAAAGCTATTGAGAAAAGGACAACAGCTGCTGAGAGACATTGGATAATAGAAAAGAATTCTGAATTAAATCAGATGGTTTATTTCAAAGATGTGCTGACCTAACAATGAAAGCCAGGAGATGTGCTACATTAGGGAAAAAGTTTTGCTCTTGTTTCCACAGGAGAAGAAAAACTATGGATACTGATAGGGGAGTGTCATATATCAATCTGTTGATTTCTTTGGTTAAGCAATAAAGAAATTGCTTGGCCCTCATAGGTTAAAACATAGGTGGGAGGAGTAAACAGAACATAAGGCTGGGAGAAAGAAGCTGAGTCAGGGAGTCGCCATGATTCTCCCACTCCAGACAGATGCAGGTTAAGATCATTCCTGGTAAGCCATCTTGTGGGCTGCAGCAGATTATTAGAAATGGGCTAGTTCAGGTGTGAGAGCTAGCCTAGAAGAGGCTAGATAGAAATGGGCCAAGCGGTGTTTAAAAGAATACAGCTTCCGCCGGGCGGTGGTGGCACACACCTTTAATCCCAGCACTTGGGAGTCAGAGGCAGGCGGATCTCTGTGAGTTTGAGGCCAGCCTGGTCTACAAGAGCTAGTTCCAGGACAGGAACCAAAAGCTACAGAGAAACCCTGTCTCGAAAAATCAAAAAAAAAAAAAAAAAAAAAAAAAGAATACAGTTTCCGTGTAATTATTTCGGGTAAAGCTAGCCATGAGGAGCTGGGTGGGAACACAGCCCACCGCAGCTCCTTCAACAGGATACCATAAAAATTAATAAAGATTCGGTTTGAAAAGTTTAAACCTTCTGAAAAAGAGAAATGACAGTTTATTCACAATGATGACAGCCATACAGGTGATAAGGAAAGCGTATAGAATTGGGGCAGTGTTCTGTTCTTGTCTTTGCAAGAAAATACTCCTCTTCAAAAATTCAAGAGACCCTGGATGTTTGGATGTTGACAGAAGGAAAAATAACTATCAAATAAGAATCATCAAGAAAAACAAATATGACTCGTAAGTTCAGGTGATAAATTATATACATTTATATATTTATGTATATATATATATATATTTATGAATATAAAGAGCTAATTTTGGAGTTGGACAATGGCTCTGTCATTCTCTAAATCCAAGTATAGTGTTAAAATAAAAATTAAGAGTTTCTGTCTCATGTCAAGAGCCATTGGGTTTGGAGCAGAAAGAAAAAAAAATTAGAAAAAAATTTACTTTTCTTCATATCGGTCTGTCACTATTGTACTTTACATTGAATATATATGTCTGTATATGCCTATATAAATAATGTTTAAATTTTCCACAATGAACAATATATTTTCCTACAGTAATCTTTGAAGTTTCCAGGAAGAAGATGGGGCCCCACAACAACAACTCCACCTGGTTTATATGATGTCATTATGCTAATAGCACTACTGTAAATCCAGTCCTGAGTACCAGCTGCTCAATATGGTTTCACCTTGGTTAGCTAAAATGGTGCATTTTTAAAACATTCTGACCAGATGTCCAAATAGGAAGTTCAGAAAAAAATTACCAAATACTCAGAGACTATTTGCAATTTAAATATTAACCATCATTTTATTTTCACAGGATCCCATTGAAAGAACAACACCTCCATGACAGCTGGAGGTAATTCTAGAAGATGACATCCCCTCTCCCAACAAACTTTGTCCTCAGAGTTATGGCCATCATTTAGGGGTTGATTATAATTGGTATAGGGTTTGGGGTTGGGGAAATTTTTTATAGGCTCAGGGAACTCTTTGAAAAAACGGGGGAAAATTGGATGGGATAATAGATTAGTATGAACTACTCACACTAATAGTAATAGTAAGTAATAGAGTGAATACTTGTGAGTTATTATTTATAGGCAATTACATTGGTATAGATTCCTATATACTGATACAAAGTAAAATTATATTGAATATTGTATGCATACATGCTTCTACCTATGCTTAAAACTTTTGTATATATTGATATATATTTATCATATGGCAATGTACATTTCTACCTCTGATCAAGATACTTATACATTGTTTACATTTTGAGATCATTGTCCTCTTTTGTTGCAGAGTTGTTTATTGTATAATATTTCAATATGAATTCATAGTCTTTAAGTTTTTCAGGTATTAAGAATTATAGATCAATGTTTGTCATACATATAATTAAACTAATCAGGTTCTTCAGATACATAGAAATTATATTCTGCATAGATAGTTAATCTTCAACAACTTTAAAGAGCTGTAGAATATGCCATTTAAAAAATTTAGGGTTTTGTTGAAGTGAGACACAGTTGCTGCTGACAGTACCAATCTATTCTGAGAGAATGATGAATACCAATAACACTCCACTTGGAGCTTGTTTTCTTCTTGGCAAAACTGGCCTTTGGGCAAGGAACTCCCATGCCTCCATCACTGACAAGGTACATGGTATACAGAAATGGATAAGCAGGATACAAAGAAAAAGACAAGGTAAGACTGTTTTGAAAAATTTCATGCCTCTGAAACTGATCTGTCAATTATTCTAGGCCTTAGCCAAAGTTGGTTACTTCAATGTTGCAAATGAGACTTTGGGTGATTGCCCAGGTATCCAGCTGTCTCTGTCATTTGTTGCCCATTTTAGAAGTTGTTTGATTGCACTTCCTACTTACTCAAGTAATATTATTTCCATTCTTGGATCATTGATGGGGTTGAAGACTAGATAGTTGTAGTTATTTTCCTCTCATGAGTTTGGCAAGATATTTATTATACAAGACTTAAATTAGTTAGGATAGGATAATTATTTAATATGTTTGTTCTTATTGTATATAATTTTGCATTAAGCTTAGAACTCTCTTATTTAATTAAACAAAAGGGGAGGTACTGTAGGAAGTGTTACAGCCAGTGGTTACTTGCCCACTGGGTCGTGACCTATTATGCTATATATGCCAATGTAGAGCATGTATCCAGGGTCACTCTTTTTCAGCTGCAGGATTGGTTTCTGATCTCCATTAAAGCAGAGGATTCTGACTTGTGAGTTTACCCCTAAATAAATAACTGTCTAATTCTCAATTCTGAGCTAGTGTTGATTTCTTTTAAACATCCTTCTTCAGCAAAGTGTCACCAAATCTCCATGATTCTAACATTAAAAAGTTTGCACATTCTGTCTGCCACAAAGGGTCATTATAACTATCATTTGCTATTTAATTAGTCAGAAAATTTAAAATCTAAGACCAAGGTCATCTGATTATTTTAATGTAAATAAACATAATCATATGAACTTGAACAAACAAGGTAAAATAATACTCCAATCTAAAAGGTTACAAAATATAATAGTTATACTCAAATTTAAAAGGTTACAGTATATAAGACAAACATATGCTTTGAGCCTCAGAAAAAGCTAAGAAAGTCACATTTTTATAATTCTCTATAAAATCAATGATAAGGAAGATACAATATTTTTTATCCTTAATTTTAATCTTTTGCTATGATAGTCTATGTTCAATGACAAAATAGAATCATTTTTGACAACTTTTACATATATATAACTTTTAACTTTAATATAACTGATCAAATTAGTGATTAATTCACAATTTAAATGACAATAACAAACAACATATAGTTATGATTAGGTTTATTTTTTCATAATTTGAAAAGACGTATTCTGCTACATCAAAACAATAAGAAAAGCAAGTGCACAAATAAGTGGTCACTGCTAATATTTAAAATTTGACGGTCTGAAACAGGAACTATAAGCACTATTTCAAAATGACTTCATGATTTTGTGATGATATATGGATGCTATAAGGATAACCAATAAATATTCACTGAATCTCTCATATTTTACAAAATATCAGAATGAAGTATGCTTTACATTATATGTGATTTAGTACTAATATACAAAATTAGTTCAAATATTTCATTCTAAAAATAGGAAAAGGTAGAGGCATTCATGTTCAGTTTCTTCATTTTATCTACAAATGTATAGTCTAACCTGTGAAGGTCATAAGATAATAACCTAAAACTCCACTCATTGCCTTAACTATCAGCACAATAGTGAAGCAAAGTTAAGATACCATTTTAGTAAATGGAGAATTTATGAGGCAATGCCTAGTCAGTGGCATTTCAACTGTGTTTTCAAATGTACCTGATTTTTAAATTTCCAGAGTTTTTCATTAAACATTCCATTTAAGAATAGACATGGACATGTTCATATATATAATAGACATATATTCATATGCTAAAAGCTATGAAACATCCATTCATTTTATTGTCAGCCATCAAAAAGCAGAATGACACATTTTAATTAAAAGAGCATTTTTATTATATTTGATTTTATTATATCTTTATTTTATATAGAACCCATAATCACTTACTAAGAAAAACTCAAAAATTAGTAATGATATCATAGGAAGCATGAGTTGTGGTGAGAAAATTAATAACTTAAAGTAAAATGCCCTATATATATTAAGTTACATATAGATTTTTAAATTTAAGTAATTTCTAAAACATTTAACATATATCAATCTCTGTTTTAAAATTTATCTAGTTGTTTAGAGAATATACTAAATAAGTGTGGGGCTGGTCAGCCAAGACTTACATGTTTCTGTAGCTAGGACACTCAGGTTGAACCAAGCACTGACCTCCCTGTCAAGCACGTTAGTGGTAATTATTGTTCCATTGTCATTGATATCGAACAATTTGCTTCCAGTGAGTGAATATCTGCACCAAAAGGAAAAGAGATAAAACAGATAGTATTATTTATTTTAAAGCAACTTTATAGGGATCAACAAATTTCAAAGTTTTAAGTCATATTATTAAGTACATATTTTATTTAGCAAAGATGATGGTGAATAATTCCAATAAATTACATTCACATAATTAAGAATCTGGGCAGAATAGATGCCTTTTCACATCGGTCACAAAATAGCAATTATTGAAAAACAAACAGTCCTTTAATTTGAAAGAAAGCATGAAGCTTATATGGGAAGATTTGTAGGAAGGAGAAGAAACAAATGATGTAAATATATTATAATATCCAAAATTAATATAAATAATTTTTGAAAAGTTGAAATTAAAATGAGTTTAGAATGAAATGGTGATATTTAAAATGCAAATACCTGACTCTCATACGCATATCTGTGACAGAGTTTTATTTGATGAAGGATTTTTTTGAAACAAATTGCAAGATAGATGTTTGTTTCATGTTTTTGTTTTTGCTTTTTTTTTTATTTTTGAGACATGATTTCTCTGGTATCTATTGAGCCTGTCCTGGAAATAGTTCTTGTAGACCAGTTTGGCTCAAACTCTCAAAGATCAATCTGCCTACCTCTGCCTCCCAAAGGCTGGTTTAATGGTGTTCACTACCACTGCCTGACTAATACACATGCTTGTCATAAACCATACTTCAACTTGATTATGAATGAAATTTCTGCAACCTTCTATTTTTTCCTTTATGAAGAAGTAAACACTTTTATTTGTTCAGTCTGATCCTATTAATCTCCACCATATATGATGGATAATGTCAAAATCAGTAAGTTCTATCACATATGAAATTATGCTTATCTGCAAATGTTTAAAGAAAATATTTTAATACTTTTTATGAAAATAAGTTTTCCTTACAGAAGATATCAATATGATTTTTTTGGTAAATAGGAGAAATTATTCTAATCTCTTTTCTTGAGGTAAACATTGATTATTAGTTTTGTATGTTTGGAAAGTAATGCCAGCAAAGTATTTCACAAAAAAGTTTGAACAAAATGGTCTCCAATTTACAACAAAAGAAGGTGTTGAAGCAATCACTATGTTTTACCTGCTTGAGATTGGTTAATAATGATAATTAGAGAAGAATAATACTCGGGGCTTAGGTGGCTTTTTATTACAAACATATTCCTGAAGACTTTCTAGAAACATGCATAAAATTTGCTATGGTTATGTTAGGGATGAGATTACTTTAAGCTTTAGTTTACAAGTTCCTTAAAATAGTATACTAATATGAGAATGGTATTCAAGAGAATCTTAAAAAAATTAGAATGAGACTTTCGAAGAGTTTATTTTTATATCCAATGATTACAAAATATTATGAAATATTTTATGTAACTACAAGTGGTTCATTTTTGAAAATTTGTTGCTAGCAAAATATAACAGCACTTTAATGGCTCTATTTTTTATTTAACATGTGGAGGAGGGTCATAAATATGATAGAGGAGGGTGATATATCTATTGGTTAATAAAGAAACTACCTTGGCCCTTTTGATAGGACAGCAGCTTAGATAGGCAGAGTAGACAGAACAGAATGCCATGATTCTCCTACCCAACACAGACACAGGTTAAGATCTTCCCTGGTAAGCCACCTCGTGGGCTGTACACATTGTTAGAAATGGGTTAAAGCAGGATGTGAGTGTAAGCCAGTAAGGAGATGGAACTGATGAGCCAGGCAGTGTTTAAAAGAATACAGTTTCCCTGTAATTATTTCGGGTAAAGCTAGCCGGTGTCCCGGAGCTGGGTGGTGGGACGCAGCCAGCGCTCCATCTACAAACATGTAATTCTGTTTCTGTAAAATACCATTTCTCATAAAGAATGAGAAACAATATTTTTTTCATAATTTAATATATATCTTCTAGAAATTAGGAACTACAGCAAAGATAAAAATAAGTTAACAAGATTCCATAAAAATATAACTGGAAATAAAAACAGATGTAGGAATTATCTTATATTAGTGAATTGATTGTTTTAGGTAGGTTCTTCTCCATGATTCATGACTTCACTAGCCCAGAGCAATTGGTTATCTTTCTAGGATCAGTCATAATTTTCCTCTTGTTAGGTGAGCTTTAGGGAGCTTTTGGTTTCCACCACAATATGTGCTCCACTCCTGAACATTATGATTATCCTGCCATGTTGTTTGTTGTTCTGGCAACCACAGATACATATAGTCCTTAGCCCTCATTAAAGAATCTTCAGATATAGACCATTACAGAAAATCACAACTACTCAATTCACAAAGCTCTGTAGCCCTGTCCCAGAGTCCATTCTTACAAATCACTCTCACACCTAATCATGGGATATTGGTAAAAAGGGGTCAGACATATTTTATGATTCAATGATCATGAAGATTTTTTTTTTGACAAGGTTTCTCTGTAGCTTTTGGAGCCTGTTTTGGAACTAGCTCTTATAGACCAGTCTGGCCTCAAACTCACAGAGATCTGCCTGCTTCTGCCTTACAAGTCCTGGGATTAAAGATGTGCATCACCACCGCCTGGTGAGATTGTTTTTTCTAGTAAATTCAGAAGCTACAACCTGGAAATCTTATTTTTGACTGTGCAAACATGAGTTGAACAAGGACAGCACCAACAGACATGCCAAAGTAGATGTAAAAATCTCAAGGATGCTTCAAAACTATGCAAAAATTGAAAGCAATTTAAGAAGCCTGTACATGGGAGAAATAATCTTCCACAGGGAATACCACACCAAGTGGTAACAAATGCCAAATGGTCAATTCTTAAAACATGTATATAAGCATATGTGTACACGTACACAATCTGTACATATGTGTGTGTGTGTGTGTGTGTGTGTGAGAGAGAGAGAGAGAGAGAGAGAGAGAGACAGAGAGAGAGAGAGAGAGAGAGAGAGAGAGAGCAATTAATAAAAACAGAGGTCATGGATTTGAAAGAAAAAAGTTTATATATGAATGGAGAAATTCTTTTTTTTTTAAATTTATTTATTTATTAAGGATTTCTGCCTCGTCCCCACAACCGCTTCCCATTTCCCTCCCCGTCCCCCGATCAAGTCCCCCTCCCTCATCTGCTCGAAGAGAAATCAGGGTTCCCTGACCTGTGGGAAGCCCAAGGACTGCCCACCTCTATCCAGGTCTCGTAAGGTGAGCATTCAAACTGCCTAGGCTCCCACAAAGCCAGTACGTGCAGTAGGATCAAAAATGGAGAAATTCTTAATTATAATACATTTTCAAAAATATTATAAAATACAACTATTCAAACTAAACTAGCATAGATAGATAGGTAGTCAACATTTACTCTTTCTCTTGTTTTATTAAAGAAACCCCTGTCCTCATGTATCTGTGCCATTTAGTTTCTAGTCCATATTCAGAGGATTGTTTATTCTTGGTCTTGATTTCAGTTGAAAATTAATATGTGAATTCACTTTATGTTATCTTACAGATTTTCTTTCTTTCCTTTCTTTTCTTTTTTCTTTCTTTCTTTCTTTCTTTCTTTATTTATTTATTTATTAAAGATTTCTGCCTTCTCCCCGCCACCGCCTCCCATTTCCCTCCCCCTCTCCCAATCAAGTCCCCTTCCCTTGTCAGCCCGAAGAGCAATCAGGGTTCCCTGCCTTGTGGGAAGTCCAAGGACCGCCCACCTCCATCCAGGTCTAGTAAGGTGAGCATCCAAACTGCCTAGGCTCCCCCAAAGCCAGTACGTGCAGTAGGATCAAAAACCCATTGCCATTGTTCTTGAGTTCTCAGTAGTCCTCATTGTCCGCTATGTTCAGCGAGTCCGGTTTTATCCCAGGCTTTTTCAGACCCAGGCCAGCTGGCCTTGGTGAGTTCCCAGTAGAACATCCCCATTGTCTCAATGTGTGGGTGCACCCCTCACGCCTTTCTTTTCTTTCTTTCTTCTTCTTCTTCTTCTTCTTCTTCTTCTTCTTCTTCTTCTTCTTCTTTTCTTTTGAGACAGGTTTTCTCTGTATCTGGGAGCCTGTCCTGGAAATAGCTCTTTTAAACCAGGCTGGTCTAACTCACAAAGATTCGCCTGCCTCTGCCTCTCGAGTGCTAGTATTAAAGGCATGCGCCCCACCAACAGGCCAGATTTTCTTAGAAATGATCACACTCTGAAATTCGTGATAGGCTAGATCTGTCGTTCTCAGCATGCAGTTCATGACCCCTCTGGCAGTCACCATTTCATAGGGATCACACATCAGATATCCTGTATATCTTTTGACTCAAACCACTGTAAAATTATAGTTATGAAGTGTCAACAAAATAATTTTACTGGAGTGGGTCATCACAATATAAGGAATAATATTAAAGGACCATAGGGTTAAAAATATTAAGTATCACTGGATTAGAATTTATATTGCTGCCCAAGCTAGTTTCAAACATATAACAATCTTCCTTTCTTAGATTCCTAAGTGTTAATCACACTTAGGTAAATCACAATGCTTGGTTTTACATTCCTTTTATAAAGTAGGAAACAAGTTATAAAGTTTATTAATAGTTAAGACATTTGGATCTTTTGACTTTCATCTTGATTTTCACAGTAACAAATATCATTGGTAAATTTCTCACTGATCAGTTAAATTATATTTTGAAATAATTTTCATCCAAGAGAACTGTTACAAGATAATTTTCATGTAGAGTCCTCTGAAAAATATTTAAATACAGTTTTATTTCAAAGTTTAAGAAATTTCTTTATCTAATGTCTTTAACTAGACTACAATTACAAGGAGATATAACCAGTTTTTACAGGATGTTTAAGTTTAGTTTCATGATCCTATCTAAAATTTCTCATTGCATTTTACCATTGTGTTTCCTTACTTGCAACGTTACTTTTTCAACATCTTTCTATTTTATTTACTTTTTTAATTTGAAAGAATATTACACTTTGATATTAATTATTTTTTAACTTTCACAATTGTTGCATGAATATTCCCACCCAGTTCACCCTCTTTTAATTACCTCTTTTTTCTCTGTTCTCTCTTACATAATGTATTCATACCTTGAAATTTATTAAAAACATAGTTTTATATTTGGTAAAATATCTTGTATTTTTGGCATTTTTCTCAAAATTAAAAATAATGTTCTATATTTTGAGCAAGAATAACTTAATGTGTTATTTCATTTTCACTCTATTCTAATAGAGTGATAGAGTGTCAATGATACTGACACTGTCTTACCAATTTTGATTGCATGAATACTTGATCACTTGATTAGGTTATTATATGCTAGTTTCTTCATCTAAGAATTATTTTTCTCCATTTTTAAAAAAAGAGCTCTTGAAAATCTTTTGAAACTATCCTATATTTTCTCAATCATTCATCTATCAGTGTTTTCAGCAAGTTAATAAGTATTGGGCATATTGGTGCAGTTAATGATGATTTCTATTCTTTATATATTTCAAAACCACTTTATTGCTATAAAAATGCCAAGACTTTTTACATGTATTTGTTTCAATTGAAAAACAATTTTTTCCAATGATCATCATGGATTTTGATATCTATGAGTACTGGAGAACAGTTCATTATGAATATTTAAAGATAATCACGAAATAAGGCTTTGAAGTTTTTTAATTATTATAAGTATTATAATTATAACAAATATGCCAATCCAACCCCATAGGCCTCATTTGAGAACTTGAGTGTGTCAAAATTCAAGAGGTCAAAGGACAACTTGCATGATTTAGTACTTTTCTTCTCCAATCCAAATACCAGGAACCGAACTTAATCAACTCATCCATAGCATGTCAGAGAAGCCCGTTCCACCCCTGCTGCATTGGTCAACTTACTGGCTCACAGACATATATTCATTCATTCATTTATACATATATACATACATACATGTATTATTTTTTACCAAATTTACATGTAGAGTAATGTTTCTGGTGAAAATGAAAAACTATGTTAGGGAAATCACCAAGGAATAATTTAGTTCATAAAATATATTACTCAGATAAAACAGAAAGAAAATCATGTACTCAATGCTGTCTGGATATGACTAATATGATGGTTTCCTTTTTTTAGAGATTATAAGTAAAATGTGTTATAAAGGTCTTCATGTAAGTTTTTCATTACATGCATATATACATAAATAGCTAGCTCTAAATATGTACAAGTATAGTTCATAAATAATTACATATTTGTTAAAGATATGTAATATGCCTTGCTGCTAATATTCTATTCTACACAATGGGTGCTGTCAATCAATATTTCTTTGTAGACATTTCTCAGCACATAATATGTTTTCACTACTCTTGGACAATTGTCTTCTCAGGAAAATTCCTGATGGTTGGATTAAAGAAGGATCTTCTGCTAATTCTATATGGTAAGCTTCATTACTATTAGAAGTTATTTTATTAATCTTGAAATTAGGTGTTTATGTAGAAATGTATTTATTGCCTTTGATTTTTTTAAGTATTATTTATTTCTCTTGATTATTGTGTAGGTCAGCATTTCTAATACTATGTTTTCTTGGAGTAGTTCAAGAAAACATCCTCACCTTGTACCCATTTAATGGAAAATCAGAATAGTGTCATTAAATCTACATTTTTAAAGGCAACATCCTAAGGAAAGAGATAAAAAAAGAAAATAATAACTTAGTATAAATACAACACAGAAACTTTTTGGTATAAACAGTGCATTCAAAGAGCAAAAGAGTTCTCAGCTTCCAAGTCAATGTGAAATATTATGTATTATTCTGAATAAAAGCTAGGAAGAGTTAATAGGCCAGGGAAATTACTAAAAATAAGTATATAAAATATTAGGTTTGATATTTATTGAAATTATGTCTTATATTTTGGAAAAATCAATTAAAACATAGTAACTAAAACTATGTTTTTTTTAAAAAGGGCATTTTTCCTTTACTAAAGACATAAATTTATCTCAACCATTATTAATAACCCTTCAGTCCTTCTATCTTTTCCCAAGTTAAGGAAGTAGAGAAGACAGCAAGTTTGCACATTTAGTATAAGCTTTTATTCAAAAAATTGAAAATCTGAGTTCTATCTCTAGGACAGAAATGGAAAAAGAAAAAAAAACAACTCCCAAATTTTTACTTCTGACTTTAACAATTTTATTCTTAACAAGAACAAGCAAAAATGTATACACACACAGTTGCATGCACACACACACACACACACACACACACACACACACACACACACCAACAAGCATATTTCATCCCCAGAGCCAGGGAGATGTATCAGTGGATTAAAGCACAAACTGTTTAACCATAATGACCTAGATTTTCAAATATAGGGTTTTCATTTTATGAGCCTGTAATTCTAGTACTGCAGATTATAGATGACATAAGTACTTATAATGCCTGCTGGCTTCCAACTTAGTCTCATGTTCAGTGAAAGAATATGTTTCATAGAAATAATTCAGAAAATGGTAAAGCACGACACATGCACCCCCCCCCCAAGATGTATACATAGTGTATTGTGATGAATTTTAGGGGAGGTTTATGGTTTATTCTATTCTTGAATATTTTCACCATGACTGTTTCATATTTGGAAAAACACAGGGTATTTAAACTTTCTTTTCATATATTTTTACAAGTCCCTTATTTTTATATATAAAGATCTAGTTAGAAAAATTTTGTTTTGCATTTTCAATGGACATTAGTTGATACAAACCTGTTCAGTCATTTATTTACACAATGCTAATGTGAGTAAATCTAAAAACCTACCTTATAGGAGATTGTTTTCTATCCATATCTATAGCAGATACTATTCCAACAATTGATCCATATGGCTTTTCTTCAGGAATTCCAAATACATAATACGGTAAGAGGAAAACTGGAGGTTCATCTTCATCTTCCACTTGAACTTTAATATACGTTGAGGAGGAATTTACATGGGCTGATGCAAGTTCCTCATCCACATGACAATTTTTAACTTTAACTCTAAAGCCATAGTGGCTCTGGTGCTCAAAATCAACTTTCTACAAATAAATATAGGATGTTTAGAAGAAATAACTTCAGTTAACTAAATTTTTACTCTGAAACATTAACTTATTCATGTCCCATTCTTTCGTCTAGGTTTGATTTCAATGTTCGAAAAGTCATTGGTTATGATCATCAAGCATATTTGAAATAACTATTATTTAAAATAGAACCAAAATTCCATAATTAAGAACTTAAAAGTTTGAGAAAAGTGAAAAAAAAATTGAAAAACTGAGAATTACTCTCTTGTTAGTTAAATGTTTTTTTAAATTTTTTTTCTAAAATAATTTTAAGAACAAATTAAAATTAAGAAGTTCTTTAAGTGTCTACATTGCTCATCTCTAAATTAATTAAATTTCCAAGATACATTTCATGATCCCTGAGTTCAATTATTAGTGATGCAAACAATAATCAACAACTCAAAATAATTATATGTATTTTATGAGATTTTGTACTCTTATTAAATATATGTACCTTTTTTAGTATAATTATACCTTCTTGGGTCTCATTATCAGTGATGATATCAAATGTTTGTGAATCATCCTCTTCAATGATATATTCCATTTCTGCATTCTCTCCTATGTCATCATCATATGCCATAATTTTTCCAATAGATGTTCCACTGGGTGCAGATTCCAATACAGTGAATCGGTAGAAACCTTTAAAATTCCAGTTATTTAGGATAAGTTTTTAATCATATGAATCTCCCAACTTTATCATATTATTTCTACTCCTAGGAAAATTTATGCCTTTCATTAAAGCTATCTGCTTTAGGTTTTAATATTTCTTTCTCTCTCTCTCTCTCTCTCTCTCTCTCTCTCTCTCTCTCTTAGATATATGCATATACACTTATTATTTTCTCTCTTATTGGAAATTGGAGATTTTTGTAGCATCTACTTTAATTATCAGAATTTTCTCAAAAATGCATCCTACAAATATATCTGCTATTCTCTTCATTCTTTGTTTTGTTCTTGCCAAACATCATTTTATTATGGCAATTGACAATTGTCCATTCTTTTAAAAGTGTTTTTAAGTGAATTTTTGTTACTAACGAGAGACTTCCTAAGAAAAGAAAACTAAAGAAACTTTAAATTATTGAGCATCTGCAATAAAAAAAAAATCAGAGAAAATGTAACCTTCTATTCCTAAAGAAGAAAAGCTAAACCTTCAAGTTAAATTATCATTTGTATGTGCAGAAAAACAGTTCCAAAGGTGTATTCATGTCAATTTTCTATGATGCCAAGAATGGTTGAGTGAAACTGTCACAGGAAGCAGGCTTACAGAAAGAGTTAATTTGCTAATAAGGTAATGTTGACAAATACAATTTATCATGACTCACTTTGTGAACCCACTGAAGAAGATGTATAGGCAAAAATATTGTGCTTAGATATGCTCTGAGATATTTGGTCAATCAAGAATTAGCAGACAACCTAGGTTAGTCTTTCAGCTAACAGCCATTAAGAAAAAAAAAGAGTCTAGTGCTAGCTAGGCAGAAAACTGAACAATGTCAACATCACTGACATGAACACAGTAAAGGATCATGCCCAAAAGATATAAGAAAATGTTCTGTGGTGTTTGATTATAGCCTAGTGAGACCTAGCCAAAATGTTTTAAAATGATTGATAAGTTGTCAGTTTGTGGCATTTTGTAAGTACAACAGTAGAATACAGACTCAATACTCTTTTCTCTATTTTGTGTTCTTATATTAAATTAGAAAAATTCTACTATATACAATTAGCACATTTATTTTATGTAAATTTCATACTGCTTCAATATTCTATATAGAGAGCCAATTTTAGCATCTGTGTATATTACAATGATTTAAATTATAATGGAAATCCAAGAAACTTTCTACTTACTTTCTTTGAATATTGGTTTGTTGTCATTAATATCTGACAGTATTATTGATACAGTTGTTGTTCCAGACAAGGCTCCAGGCTGACCAAGCATGTCTCTGGCTTGGATAATTACACAGTATGTATCTTGTAATTCTCTATCCATTTTAGAAGATATTCTTATGACTCCTTTAAAACAGTAATACAATTTCTATTGTTATTATCCATGACCTCTTCATATCTGACTTTGTAAGCATCCCATGCTGTAACTGTTATTCTGCTATATACTAGCTGCTAACTAAAAGAATTGTAATAATGATAAAATTAAACACCAATTTTGTTTATGATTCTTATCATAAACACAACTATATTCTCAGTAAAATGGTACTGATACTGACTCCAGTTGTTCTTCTCAGTGACATGGCCTGTATCTCTTCTTCTGATTTGTGTGATCTAAAGCTGGGAAGTGAATATTTACAACTGCTAATGTCAAGGGAAGGCCTCCAGAAGTTCATTTGTCAGAAAAGGGTAACAGTGGGTTGGGTTTTGGGGTTTGTAAACTTAAGGAGGGGTAGGTGCTCCTCTTACCACCATACCTATGACTAGCATGGGCTGTACCTGAGCCTACTAATGTGTTTTCATTTTCATGTATTTTGTTTGTTTGTTTTTGTTTTCTTGGTTTTTACTTTTATTTTTGTTTTGAAGAGAGAGAGAGAGAGAGAGAGAGAGAGAGAATAAAGCTAGGGGTTAGGATAGCAATGAAATTTGGATTTTCTAGAACTCGTTGAGAGAGAAGAAACACAATCAAAATACATAACAAAAATATTATTAAAAGAGAAATGTCTTTAAAAAAGAGGTACTATACAAAATAAATCAGCATCTCTTTTCAGTAATCCAAATAATAAGCTATAAAAATAATATTGTAGAGAAGTAAGACTATTACCACCACAATACAACAAAACAGCATATTCCATACTTTTTTTAGTATCAAGTATACAGGGTAGAGAGAAATATCAACATATTCCAAATAAATTCATAAAAAATATTGTTTAGCAAAATACACTATTTTTTAAACTTAAGACTTTTTATTTTAATAATAACCAGAAGTTTGTTCATTTGTTTACTTTGAAAATTTTGTAACAATTAGCTAGGATATTGAGTCTTTTAAAGCCTCTAAGTTCTGAAGAGGAAGGTTTTGCTTTGAATTGCTAGGTAATAGTTAATACTTATTGAACAAGCAGAGTCATATAAACATTTAGAAGCCAGTGGATATGTTTACAACTGATAATAGAGTTTTGGGTAAAGTTTCTGTTTAGCATGTGTAAGGGTCATTTGCAATATTTATAAAATAACTACTAATTGTTTTTAATACGTACTTAAAAAAAACCACCTGAACTCCACTTTGATTTTAAGGATATTCAAATGATTAATATAATCAGGAAATGCAATGATAATCTTTGTTTAATAAAATTTAAAAAGAGCCTGTCGTAAAGACAAAAATGTGCCAAATGTGTTTAAAGCAATTTCTTTATCATATGATACCACATATTTAATATTATATAGTGATTGATAGATATCTGGTTAGTCATGTAAATGTGTCTTTGAGGATTTATCTCCAGTTTCCTAGAGTTTATTGCAGTTAGAAATTTTTAAGATGCTTTCAGACTTTTGGCAAATGTCATCTGGTCAATTATCTGTAATGTCTAATTCTCATATTTTTAAATTGTTTTGCCCTTTTTCTCTGATACATTTATAAGATTCATTACAAATATTTTATATAAAATATGGAAATATCCATATCTATGATATAGATAGCCCAATCTATGAATCATGGAAACACTGTTTATGTGTCAGCAAAATTACACAATTAGGGAATGGCATCATAACTAATGATGAAATATGGCATTTTTTGTAGAACATGTTTGTACCTAGGTGATATGTGCTCTCATTTTCTTCTTAGAAGACAGAGAGGGTTACATTTTTTTTTAATTCACAAATACCTGTTGTAGGTTCAACAGAAAAATATGGTTGGCCTTGTACTAAGTTGTACAGGATTCGAGCATGATAGCCGGTTGTAGGGTCATCAGCATCATTGGCTGTCACCTTAATGACAAATGTTCCTAAAGAGAAAAGATACATTAAGAGTAAATTTAGAGTTGAGTCTTACTCAATAAACAATTCAGTTCAGTAAAAGAAGCAAAATGGCCACATTAAAGAAAACCATACTGTTTTTTTATTTTTCAAATCACAACTTTTGTTGTGAACATATAAAAAAAATATAGCTTTATAAATATGCCTCGTTTCCAAAAGGACTGAGAACTAAAAGTTTGCAGTCTCTAATTAATGAAATGAAATGCTACATAATACATTGACACATACTGTTTATGATATTTCTAAGGTGCCTGTTCACTGTAGGAACTTGAATAAATGATCAAATATGTAAAAACAGCCTAAAGATCAAAGAAATAAGTAATGTTGAAAAAATTTGTAATCATTATTGAAATGAGCTTAAAGGACTCTAAGTTGAAGAAAAAAGTATGGGTTAAAGTCTCTTTACTATACTCAGTAAAATTTTTAGTAACCAGAGATGGAGAAAACAGTATGTTTCATGACAAATTCAAATTTAAACAATTAGCCATCCAAAAGGTATTAAAGGAAAACTATAACCCAAGCAAATTAGCAACACTTGAAAACATATGCAATAGATCTTCTCACATAACCAAAATTAACAGAAGGATAACACACGAACACACACACACACACACACACACACACACACACACAGGCATGCATGCACATGCACGCACACACACACACACACATCATCATAATCTCTCAGTATCAATGGACTCAATTCATGAGTAAAAAGTAACAGGTTACTAGAATAGATATGAAAACAGCATCTATCCTGCTTTATACAAGAAACAAACCTCAAAATTAGGATAGATGTTGTTTCAGAGTAAATTGATTGAAAAGAACTTCTAAATCAAATGAACCTAAGAACCAAGCTGGTTTAGCTAAAATAATATCTAATAAAATAGATGTCAAAATTTAATCAAAAGACAAGGAGAGTGACATTTAATACTTATTAAAGTATAAATTGACCAGAATGATACCGCAGTTCTTCACATTTATGCCCAATGCAATATCACCCACATTTGAGGTAGAGACATTATTAAAGTTTAATAAACTCTTTAACCATACACATTAATGGTAAAAGACTTCAATAACCCACTCTCACAAATACCCCAATCATAAACTTAACAAAGATAAAATGAAATTAACAGAAATTAGGAACCAAATATTCCTAAAAGATACATACAGAACATTTCACCTACATGAAAAAATAATATAGCTTCTCAACCCTTCATAGAACTTTCTACAAAACTCACCACATACTTAGACATATAGTAAATCTCACCAAATACAACAAAATTGAAATAATCCCATGTATTTTCTCAGAGCATTAAAGTTGAATTTCAACAACAGAAAAAAGAAAGGCTACAAACTAAGAGAAATTAATCAACTCTCTACTGAGTTACCACTTGGTTAAGGTAGAAATATAGACAGAAGTTAAAGATGTCCTGAAATATAATGAAAATGGATACACAACAAATCCAAATTTATGGGAGACAACTAGAGTAGTACTAAGAGAAAAATTCAAAACACTTATTTTTTTCATGAGGCAATTAGAATGACCTCATACAAGTGATATATCAGTGTGCCTGAAACCTCTAGAGCTAAAAGAAACAAACACATTCAAGAGGAGTTGAGGGTCGGAAAAAATAAACACAGGAATGAAAGCAATAAACAGAAATGAAGAAAATCATACAAACAGTCAATGAAAGAAAAAGTTGGTTCTTTGAGAAAAATAAACAAGACAGACAAATCCCACTAAATCTAACTAAAAGGCAAAGGCATAATATGCAATTTAAGAAAATCAGAAATGAAAAGTAAGTACATAGAAGAGACACCAAGGAAATACAAGGAATCATTTTTTATTTTTTATTTTATTTTTTTAAATTTATTTATTTAAAATTTCCACCTCCTCCCATCCTCCCCCTTCCCTCCCCCTTCCCCCACTCCCCCTCCCATTTGCTCTCCAGTACCCTGCCTTGTGCGAAGTCCAAGGCCACCCTCCATCCAGGTCTAGGAAGGTGTGCATCCAAATAGACTAGGCTCCCAAAAAGCCAGTACATGCAGTAGAATAAAAATCCAGTGTCGTTATCATTGTCTTCTCAGTACACCCTCATTGTCAGCCACATTCAGAGATTCCAGTTTGATCACATGCTCATTCAGACCCAGTCGAGCTGGCCTTGGTGAGCTCCCACATTGGGCCCCTTCAGCTCCTGCTACAGGGGCTTCTTTGTTCCACACATCCCTTCCCTATTGGCTGCGAGGTCCAGGAACAAGGCCTACTCATTTTGTTATTCTTTAAAAATATATATTCCACAAAATGAGAAAATCTAAAAGAACTAAACATTTATCTCACCAGATAGCATTTATCATATTTAATAGAAAATCAAAAAAATACAATTTCAATATATCTATAACTTCCAAGGAAATAGAAGCACTCATTGAAATTCTCAAAACCAAAAAAGCCCAGGGTCAGATGCTTTTAGTGCAGAATTCTATTGAAATTTCAAAGAAAAGTTAATACCTATACTCCTTTACTTCTTAAAATAGAAAAAGAAGGAACTGTGTTAAATTTATTTTATAATGTGATAGTCACCCTGATACCCAAACCACACATAGAGAATTATAGAACTATTTATATTATGAATATAGATGCAGAAATATTCAATAAAATACTCTCAAATGGAATCCAAAAAGATATAAAAAAAACTTTTATGAACAAGTACACATCATTATAGAGATGCAGGTATGATTCAAAGCATAAAAACCTTCCAATGTATTTCACCACATAAACAAACTGAAAGACAAAAGAAGATTATCTCATTATATACTGAAAAAAAAAGCCTTTGACATAATCAAAGATTCCTTCATGATAAAAGAATTGGAGAAATCTGGGATACATGGAGCATATCTAAATATAATAAAGGCAAGAGACAGCAAACCAATACCCAACATAAAATTATATGGAGAGAAACTCAAAGCAATTTTAGTAAAATTGGGTACAAAACAAGTTGTCACCTTACTCCTTACCTATTAAATATAGTACTAGAAGTTGTAGATAGATCAATAGGATGACTTAAGGAGGTCAATGGGATAGAAATTAGAAAGGGATATGGCAAAGAAACTTGATTCACAAATGATATCATAGTTTACAAAACCAAAACACAAAATGTTCCTAGGGAACTCCTATAGTTTATAAATTCCTTTAATGAAGTAACTGAATATAAAATGAACTAAAATATTCAGTTGCTCTCCTATATCTAAGAAAGAAATTAGAGAGACAACAGCCTTTTTAATATCCACAAATAATACAAAATATTGTGGATTAAATTTAATCAAACAAGTGAAAGACTTGCATGAAAAGAACGCTAAGCCATTGAAAAAAGAAAAAAGAACAAAATATAGCAAAAATTAAAAGATCTCCCATACTCTTGGAGAGGTAGGATTAACAGAGTAAAAATGACAGTCTTACCAAAAGCAACTGACACATTCAATGTAACACCACCAAAATACCAACACAATTTTTCACAGACCTCAAAACAGCAATACTCAAATTCATTGGGGGGGGAGATGGACAGCTAAAAAGAATCTAGTACAACAGATGAACTTCCAGAGGCATCACTATCTGTGATTTCAAACACTCTTATAGACTTATAATAATATAAACAGCTTGGTATTGGCATAAAAACAAAAGCATGAATCAATTGAATTGAATCAAAGATCCTGCCATAAATCCACTCTCATATGAACATCTGAATTTTGACACAGAATTCAAAATTACTCAACTAATGTCATAACTGGATGTTCTATGTAGAATAGATCTATATCTGATACCATGCACAAAATTCAACTCCAAGTGGATTAAAGACCTCAACATAAATCCTACTACACTTAACCTGATAGAAGAGAAAGTGTAAAATGTTCTTGAACTCATTGGCACACAGGACTACTTCCTGGTTTTAATAGCAGTAGCACAGACAGTGAGATCAACAACTAATAAATTGTGCCTTCTAAAATAGAAAAGCTTCTATAAAGCAAAGGACATGGTAGATAAGTCAAAACACCAGGCTAAAGAATGGAAAAAGGTCTTTACCAACCCTACATCTGACAGAAGGCTGATCTCAAAAATATATAAAGAATTCAGGAAGCCAGACATAAAAATACCAAATAATTCACTTGAAAAATGGATGTAGTTCTAAAAAGAGAATTCTCAGCAGAAGAATCTCAATGGCCAAAAGACACTTGAAAATTTGCTCAACATCCTTAGTCATCAGGGATTTGCAAATCATCAACGACTCTGAGATCTTACACCTGTCTGAATGGGGTAGATCAAAAACACTGATGGTAGATTTTGTTGGAGAAGATATGGAATAAGGTGAGCAAGGTAAACACTCCCCTAATGCGGGCACAAGTGAAAACCTGTACAGCCACTTCTGAAACAAGCTAAGCACTTTCTTAGAAAATTAAGAACCAGTCTACTCAAGACCCAGAGATACTACTCTTGGGCATATATGGAAAGAATGCTCAATCCCACCACAAGGACACTTTTTCAAGTACTAATAAAAACTCAGAGTCAGATATTAGGAATTGAATGCTAAAAGATCAGAGAAGCCGAGCAACAAGGCACTACTTTGTACCTCTTCAAAATCTTCGCAGCCAAGAGAGCAAAATCTTGTCTCTACCAAATCCTCAGACTGAATGTTTTAAGCTCCTCTTTCTGCTTTATATTCTACTATTCATTCATACATATCCCTTCCTTTTTCCACCTCCCTAGCATTGGGATTCAAGGCATGTGACACCCAGATTCAGGGATTAAATGTGTGAGCTACTATTGCATGGCTATGTTTTTTCTTGGGGGTGGGTGAGTCTGGAACAATCTTGTGTAGACCAGAGTGGCCATTAATTTGCAGAGAGTTGTCTGCCTCTGTCTCCTGATTGCTGGGATTAAAGATGTGACCCAGCACTGCCTTGTCTCTATGGCTAA